GTTGCAGTTTGATGTCGTAAACCACGTACTTCAGCTGGCCGAGTCTCTGAAAAACGGCTTCAAAAGGACGAGTCGCTCGTAGAGTTCGGCGCCGCTCACACGTGTAACGCGGATATTGTGTCCTAGCTGTACTGCTACACTGCCGCTAAGGGTAACGGAACCTCTTGGCGCACCACAAAGAATCCAACTTGACGCTTCTTGCCTTCACACCGCAGGTCGAGCCACACTTTTTTGACGAACTTTCTGTGTTCAAAGAATCTGTTTAGGATGACACCACACTTTCTGGTCGCCTTTGTCGTGAGTTGGCAAAGTGTTGCCTTCGAGATGATGGAGCATTTAGCTCCGGTGTCTATTTTACAGCAAACGGGCGCGCCTTCTAGGTTCACTTAAGCTGTCCGAAGACGTTCACGAGACACTGTACTAACTCACAACGCTTCTAGGTAAAATGTCCCGTCACCGCTATTCATAACTTCCTGCACTTCTTTTTGTAGAAGGCTTCTGCATCCTGGCTTTTGTAGCTGATCTTTTGGAGACTTTAGCGAAGTGATTATGTTTTCCGCATTTATTACATTTTTTGCAGCCGCTGGGCAAATGCTAGTCCTGTGAGCAGCGAAAGCACACGATTAGCATGGACGTTTGCTTTCTTGAACCACATTGACTTGCATCTCATGTGTTTTTTCTTCGCTTTGTATGTGTTTGTACCTTTCCTCTCCTTGCTCCCGCGCTCTGCACATTTCCACCGCCTTGGTGTACGTCGGCTGCTCGTTAACAAGCTTGTGTTGAAGCCTCTTTTCTCGAATGCCGATAATTTTCTACTTCGAAGTAGGTGTTTTTCTAGCAGCTCAAACTCGTAGTTGCTTGCTAGGACATGAATGTTCCTCTACCATTCGTTAAAGGGTTCGCCTTTTTCCTGGTTCTTTGTACCATATACGGACTCGTTGTAGGTCAAGCTCGCGGCGGACCGGTAGAAGTTATCGAACTTTTCGACGATAGCATCTACGTCCTGCTTCTGGTCTTCGCTCGCAAATGTGAACGTGCTGAAGCTATTTCTTGCATCTTCCCCTACGATCATTAACAGGGTTCCCGCCTGAACTTCTTTTGGTTGGCAGTAGAGGAACATTGCCGTAGAATACAGTCGAAACACATTTTCACGTCTTCCGGTTCCGCCACATGTCTCCGGATGTGTCCAGGGGCCTTGGTTGCTGCAGCAGCGTAGTGCATGGCAGCCCGTCCAGCATCTGTGACGTTGCCATTGTCTGGTTGCTTTTTTTATTGCATACCGGCACCTGGCCGAGCGGCTCGAATCACTTCTGACACCACGTGGCTCGTGCTCGGGTACCGAGGTGGACGGCAACTTTTGCCTCCTTCGTCGCATTTCTCGGTAGCGACATTAACCATTTTTACGTACCAGTGGCCAATTTCCTCTAGATAATTCTCAACTTGATAATTGTCGTTTACTTATCAAACTTTGTTATATATGACATGATTATCTGCAAACAGCTTATTTTGGAGAAAATTTTGCACCAAAGATTGTTAATGCAGATGAAGAAAACCAGGGGGCCGAGAACGGAACCCTGCGGAACCCCAGACGTGTGAGAAAATGAGTAATCTAGGAAATCACTAAGTGATCTAATTGTAGAGACGATAGCTTGGAGATAAGACGCTGATAAGGAACAAGGTCGAGGGCTTTTCAAAAGTCCAAATGTATGGCGTCAGTTTGTATATAATATTCAAGGTTAGTATGTAACTTGTGAACAAATTCTCACAGCTGAGTCTCGCAAGATAAATCCTTACAGAAGCCATGCTGATATCTGAAGATATATTTTGTAAACAGGTGAGTCATGACGTGCAAATACTAGGTATGCTCTAGAAGTTTAGACAATGTGGAGGTTAAGGAGATGGGATGATAAAGGCCGAAGACGGAATTCCCTGCTTGTAGATAGGAACACCCTTCCGATCTTCCAATCAGCTTTGGAGGGTGACTGGTTGAGGATGATATTAATAAGTTTGCCTAAAGTAGCAGCTGTATTTAAAAATAAGTTTTAATTGCTTTATCAGGGCCTGTTGGGGATAAAAATTTAATTTTTTCAATAAGTTTTATTATTCCGGTTCAAGTGACAGTAACTGGTGGCATGAGATCATAGCACTATTCGGGTTGGGTTGAAATATTAAGTAGAATAATTAACTAAGATTGGCTAATATCTTTTTAGTTGTTTAAATAAACATCTGGTTCTAATAAGGAACTTGTTCAGTGTCATCTAAACCACCCTATTAGCCTGTTTTAGAAAGATTGCGAGCACGTGCGAAGCTGAGGGTACGACATTTACGGCTCGTGCAGCAGGCACAAGGCTAGGTATGCTAAAACGTGCGCGCTGTCTTTATGTCATCGCATTATCCTAACCGTATAACTCACCTGCACAGACACCATCAGAGTTGCTTTCACTTCCTTTTAAAATACATTTGTTCGAAATCAAATAAAAAGCCTTGTATATGCTGTTAAATTTTATTGTCATGGGTGGGTACCAGTTTGATCTCCCCGGTTCGAGAACCTATATCTGACATCCCTGAAATTTGGTGTTTTTACATCACCATGGAAAAGCTTGTTTTACCAAAGAACAATAACGGCAGTATTTGAAAAGTAGACAACCACCAACATATAGGATTGTAATTATAATTTTGCTTGTAAAAAAAAACAGTTACATGTGCGTCGCCTTACGCAAAGCCTTGTTGGCGCATGCAATCTTTAGGATACAATATATTCAAAGCTGATTGAATGTATTGTTTGTTTAGAGTTTTTAAAAGATTCCTGAGATGGTTCTTTTTCGCTTGGTTTTATAAAACGTCCTTCAATACGAAGGGATACTTGCTAATTCGTTAGCTGCTCGGTTCATATGCAGTGAAACCCGTTTAGAACGAGCCCCGTACAGCGAGTTATTGTTTATATGGGAACTCACTTAAAATTTAAATGTAAGGAGTACTTTTCATAACGAAAAGCATATTGGCTATATAGAACATTTTCCCCCCGGGAAGGTTTCCAAAAACGCGCAAACAATCGTCTTCTAGCCTTTCTCTACCGCCCCCCCCCCCCAAAAAAAAAAAGAAAAAAAATAGTAGGAAAGAAAGAAAATTCCAGAAGCTCAAGTTGCGAACATAATGTGGCGAAGAGAAGCGATTCAGAATAAGAGATAAACTAAAACATAAAAAAGCTCTGCACGCATGCAAGAAAAAGATGTTTCCTGCGCGTTGTTACAAGGCGCAAGTGAAGAGATGAGAAAGAGAAGCTCTCGCCTTACAACGAACGCATCGTGGAAGTTCATTGTAAATGTTTTTTGCTGTATCGAATTTCTTGCTATATCGAACTGGTCGTAGCGTTTCCTTCTGTTTGTTATGAACGGGTTTGACTGTAGTTATTTCTCGACGTCCACTCGATAGTGTTTGGTTTGACATATAAAGCCTTTGAAGACCAAGCTCATACCTTGCCAATTTATAAGCTTTTTGTATTGAGTATTGATTTGTATTGAGTCTTTATTTGTATTGATTTACACAAATAAAAGCCTCGCAAATGGTCTTTAAGTGTAGTCAAGCTTTATGTGCTGTTGAAATAATTTTCTAAATGAATACGTAATTATAGAAAAAGATTGTCCAATATGTAACAGCTACTGTCTTGAACATCAAACTGTCAGTCGGAATATAACTGCCGGCAATTATCAGTCCACATATCGCAAGAATAATAAAAATGGCATGCCTACTTACTCGTTGAAACTAGGTTGAAGCTCGTCCATGAAAGCAAGCAAAACAAAAGTCGCAGCTTGAAAACGACCGCTGCCGATCATAATCCTTGATGTTCGGAGCTTAAAACGTCAGCTCGAGACACATAAATTTATTTTACATCCCTGAAAGTTTTGACGAATGAAGCAATCACAAAGAGGCGGGAAAGGCTAATAGTTCGAGTACAAAATATTCATTATACCGATAATTGTGACGGCCAAATCCGTCACTCGCACTAAATTACAGCGGAGCGACAGGATGCACAAAATGTTTTGAGGACAGACAGCACCTCTCACATCAGAAGTGGGAATGTCTCGGAGACGCACGGAAACACACACTGGGATGAATCATGAAAATTGCAGCTATCTGGTCTTCTTTGGTTAGGGCCAGCTGCTCTTCTGGCCAATGAAAGTCATTTATATATTACAAAGAGCGGAGAATACTTTCCATGCCGATTTTTGCAATCACTTTCACTGGTGGATATTGTCCCGCGCTAATTTCCGTCCCTTCAAATGCATTTTCACTTGGTAGAGGCGCATTTCCAGCGACGTCGCTGCGCATACGAACACAGGTCAACAAAAAGATGGCCGAAGGTTCGTCGTGTTGACCGCGCCGTCAGCGCGGTGTGACAGGATGTTCTTGAACTGTCAGACAACAAATCGGCGAACACGGTTGCTGAGCGACAAGGAAAACATGTTTCCCGACCGTTGCTGTTGCCTCAATCTGAAAGGGTCGCAGGACAGATGTCTCCCTCGTGTTGAAGGTTAAAGTTGTTCAAGTATTTTCTCATTGTGATAGTGCCTTTTAGTATCGAATAAAAATTACGATATTTGAAACCACTATCTGGGATACCCCCTTTCATGCATTTATCAATAATATTAATTTGGGCCTGTGCTATTGTTTGCTTACGAAATTAAGATTAAAATATTGACGATCGTGAAGTGAGAGGAAATTATATGTTATGCATATTGCAGCGATGCTCGTCGAATTCATAGTTCTTGAATCTTGATCCCAAAAAAATGCGTTTCTCATGAGCGCGTGGTACTATTTTAAAATTACACATTTAAGTCCCTCACTGTGAGAGGAGTTACTGTTATTTGTGGCAGTGAGAACCACATGAAGACCAGCTTTCGTCTTGTTTCTATTCCTATTGAGAAGCTTCATGGATGAAAAGAAACCGGAAATGACGAGTCCCGTACCTTGAACTCAACAAACTACCGGTATGATTTTGAATGGCACAAAAAGTTTGCTGCGAAAAATTACCTTACCTGCAACATTTGCGTACGACACCTGTGCATATCGAAAATAATGTAACTGGTATAAAATATTCATAGCAGACAAATGGCGACTGTACTGTAGTATGTTGTTGTTCAATATATTTTCAGTTACTGTTGGGGTTATGTTTCCTAACGGTTAGATATATCTCGTATTTCAGTGTACACGCGAGAGGAACTCTTATATTTTATGGAATGCATCCACGACAACGGATCTGAAGCGGTGGGTAAGCTTGGATTCTTCCGACTGTATGGAGCAGTTGTTCTCCAATGGGAGTCCGCGAAGGTTTTGCGGGATTTCCGAGGTCAATTGTGCGTAATACCTATAAGAAGTGGTCATTTATGACGTTGACAAACGTTGTTCGAGCCAAGAAAGAAAGGATGATGCGCGAGAGAAATAGATAATATGCGGGAGAGCCAAGTTTCCACTGCTACCCAATAGATGGCGCCGGTGTGTCCTCTCGTTGTAGAGATTCTAAAGGATTCCGAGGCACCGTGTCTTAAGAAGTGGCAAGTGTGTGAACGGGCATTAAACTTTAACTAAGAAGTCAGTATGATATAACGTACATGGGTGTGTCAGATAAGGATGGTGACAGGAGAGCCATACCTATTTTTTAATGGAAGTTTGACTTTGATGTGAGGTAAAAAAACATGTCCATGCAAAAGAATGGACCTTACTTTTGCAAAACATTTCTCTGTTTCCGTTAAAAAATCGTACCTTCGAGGAGGTGGAACTACAATTCCCCCAAATGCGCGTAGACTTAACTTGAAAGGCCACAGGAATAAAAAATAATTCTACACCGTTTATATATATATATATATATATATATATATATACGCATTTGTTTATAACATGGCAACTCTTGTAATTGAAGCCGTTATATTTGCTTAGGTCAAGTTTTTGTTACTCTAATAAAATTACAACCATGACCTCTTCCGAAACTCTTTTATATTTAGACATTTTTCGGCGATATTGTTACACATCTTTTCATAAAGTTTTTAGGGTGAAACATTTCTTACAAAGTGTTGCATGCTTTGTTCACTTTTAACAGAAACGATAGCCCTCAAATATTGTAAGTGTATTTTGCGTAGCGCCCGGAAGGTTTCAAAATATCGAACAAGCCAAAATAAAGCAAATTTTGTGCGGCAATAAAAAATGTCCTCAATGTTTTTCAATTTTGTTTATGAACTTTTGGAATTGGGTAATTCAGGATCCGCAAAGAAACATGTTGCATGTTATTGTATTAAAAAAGCGTTTTGCTCGGTCTCTGTTGCAGTTTATTACCATTATGGCTTTTTCTCTCGACGACTATACACCATTGCAATTTCCAATATATGCAAGTCCTCAGCCCAGCGTGCAATCTCCTCAGCCCAGCACGCGCATGTTCGTCACTTCGAAAAGTGAGCAAATCGCGCAGCATACCCATAAGCACTCAAAATGGAACCGTCCAGGGGTCCTTTTTTGAAAAGGTCTGGAAATCGGTAGTCGAGTCGGCTAGCGCACACCAGCTCGGAGCACGTGAAGCGAAAGCTCGCGCTGCAGAACCCGGGGATCCTGGGTTTAATCCCAACCCCTGGGCCCGTTTCGACCTAGATGAGCGTCGTGCCGGCGTGCGGTCGGGTATTACTACTGCGTGGTGCACGTTAAAGAACCCAGGCTAGCGGTTGTACTGCTCTTGCTAAATTTCTCATCCACAGCTAAGAAACAAGTCTCCCGTTGTGGCAGACTAACTTCAGGCTGTATAAACATGCGCACAAAACACTAGTAAAGTTCTTTACTCTGTTTCATATTCAGTGTACAACGCTGTCAAAGCTGCTGGCGCGAGCATGGGGTTCGGTCTCGCAGATTATTTGTACGCGTTCTCGAGCAAACAAAAGCATAGATGAAGTAAAGACCACTGCAGGCGAAGCCACGCACTCACGCGAGTAGCTTTGGCAGGGTTGTATACTATATTTCGTTTCAAGTTCAGACGCAGCCGATGCTACAAGCGACGGAGGCTTATTGCGGAGAAGGCGCCGTGTAACCGAGCTTTCGGTTGCACGTCAAAAGATCCCCAGGTGATCGAAATTAATCCTCAGTCCTCCGCTGGGGCGTGCCAGATGCCCGTCGTAGGTTTGGCACGTAAAACCCCCAAAATTTGACTTTTGATACTACAAGCGCGAGCATATAGCCCTGAACAGTGTTTGCACTTTACGAGCGCACGTGCTTGGCAGCAACTAGGTAAAGCTCAGAGCGATAAACTGGCAGCTAAAAGTGACCCCCGATTGGTCGCCGCCAAGTTGCACATTTTTGACCACCAAAACGTGACCTTATAGTTTTACGTTTAGATTTTAAGAAAGTATCGCGCACAAATAATTCCTTATTACTCTTTAATAAAAATACTGACGAGATAAGTTATGTTTCGTCTGTTTTATGTCCAAAATATGCTTTTAAGACAAAAACTCAGGCAGCTTCGCAATGCCTCCATTAGATGCCGTCAGCCGCGGTGCTCTATTTTGGGTTTTATATTCCAGCTAGACACTGATCTCTGGGGATAAGAGTATTGAAAAAAATATTTCATCACGTTTCTTATAGCGATCGTAATACAAACCTCGGCTCAGTTTTGCGTGAGGATTTGGTACGGTCACGTGTCCAGTGATCAACATTGCACAACGGGGCGGCAGCCAGGTGGGGATCTCTTGCCTGGTGAACGGGATACAAGTTTATCGCCCGAAGCCCCCATACCTCGTTGCTTGGCGGGGACACTGATAGCCCGGATCTCGCTCTTGTAGGTTCTGCTACGCTCACACTTAAAGTGTATGCTGTATGGTGTATGGCAATTGCTGTATGGCAATTAACGCGACCAACTATGGCCACTGTGGATGCGGTGTTCTAGTACTGCTAGTCGTTGAGGCAGGACACCTCCAACTTGAATTGATTGCAGCATAGATATGGTCAGGTGCTGAATTTTATAACTTGAAACAAAATAATGCAACGTGGTTATGTGCGGATTCGGAATCACGCGTTTCCAAGGGTTAATTGAGGATGATTGCGAGCGAATCGAGTAAGATTTTATATTTATTTTAATTGCCGCAAAAATATTGCACTATTTCGACTGTTTCGATATTCCGGAATCTTTCGGGTGCAATGCAAAATCACTTATAATAGCTGAGCGATAACGTCTTCGTTAAAAATTAAGAAAGCAAGAAATTTTCTGTACATAAAGTGTCAGGCGAAGAGCTGAACTCTAATATGTGTTAAAAAAATCACCGAAAATGCCTAAATACAAGATAGTTGCGCAAGACGCCAGTTTGTCATTTTATTTTACTTGAACTGCGAACTTAAACAAAAATAAATTTAACTGCTGCAATACACCAGTAGGCATGCTTTATACATAAAAATATTTACGCTGTAGAAAGCTTTATTTTTAATCTTCTGACCCTCAAAGTTTCGTCTACGCGCAATCGGGAAGATCATACTTCTGCCTCATCTCAGACACCTTTATTTGTTTTTGTTTTTAACAAAAACATTACATTTTTGTTTTGGGAAGGTAAGGTGTGTTTTATTGATTTTATATGTTTTTCTATCTAAAACAAAAGTTTAATTAAAACTAAAAGGCCCTGCACCTTGTGACCTGTCTTATCTGAACAGAGTCACATGCCACTTTTCTTTTCTCATAATTCGTGCTTGAACTATTCCGGTCCGTTGTATAAAAATAAAGAAATTTACATCATAAGTCTGTGAGTATTAAGCAAATTATGGGCTTCTCTTGAAAGCGGTAAAAATTGGTAATTGAGTTGATGGTCCCAGCTGTACCGACGAAAATAAAATGTCGATACCAACAAACTACCATTTTTCAACTCTACGACGCAGAATCATTCTATCTTCTCACTCTTTTCAGATGTTGAAACTTTGGAACAGCCACAAAAGCTTCTTCGGAGAGATGCATGAGGTGGACGTTATTGCGCTCATGTGCAAGTCAGCCGTCGATGCCGGCGATGCTCTGGTAACGCCTTTCAGAACAATCTTATCTTGGTCGACGCGTCAAATTTAGGTTAGAAGCGTTTCGTTCAGGGTGGTTCGCAAAAATGAAAGGAACCACGCCTTTCTTTTTACACGAGAGTAAGCGACAAAAGACATAGTGTCAGGACCTGCAATGCAATGCGAGTGGTGCAACATTCATCCATGACTCTACCATACATTGCGTTGAGGAAATGAGAGTTATTTAAACATTAGAGAGTTTTAGTAGATCGTTCCCATGACTCCGATAACGATATCCCGATACTCCGCCACCGCCTCCCTTGCGCATGCACAGTATCGTTATCGGGGCTATCGGAGGTATCGGAACGATCTACTAAAACTCTCTATTAATATCATACGGGTATTGGGGAATTTATAAGATGTTTGAATCCCAGGCTCGCTCCAAGATCAACCGGAAAAAAGTGGTGCACCGGCCGCTCAGCCATCTCAAATTTTAATTAAGGTTGCATTTCAGTGGTACATTTTGAATGGTAAAATTTCAGTGTGTAGCTGAGTTTTTTTTTTTTTTTTTTTGGGGGGGGGGGGGGGGGGATAAGAACAATCTTTCTGAAATTTTCAACGGAAACCTCCTCAGCAGACGACCGAGTTGACCGAGGTTTGTGCTCGTGGCGCCGCCATTAAGGTAGGCGCCGCAAGCAGACGACACTTTTTTGAAAGCAGTTGACGCCGCCGTATGTTGGTTGTGTCTACGGGAGATGTGTATTTTCTCGTTTATTAATTTTGTTGTTTTAAGGCACTCATTTTATAAGTGATTTATTTTCTAATTTCTTCAGTATGTTCACTGCACTTGGTTGGAGCGGTTAGCACAGATGTTATTGAACGGTAATCCACGTAAAAATTTGCAAAACATGAATCAATGAATAGGCTAATTGATAATTTAATTTAGTAATTAGGCGGTGGAGGCTCAATAGCTTAGCATTATCGTAGCCTTCTATAAAATAAAGGTTTAGATTACACATTGCCGGTGTACTGACGAATCCACACGTCTCACAGAAAAGAAAAGAAGGTTCATGTCGTATTAGTTTCTGTTAAAGGGTCATTGCGAAAAACTAGTAGCATTCAGTATAATTCTCTTATTAATCTTTGGGAGTTATAAACGTTTTAATTAGTAACTTTGAAGGTATGGTTTAAATAAGAAACTTGCTGGGCATTATTCAAAACAACTAAAACAACATATTGTAGTGGAATATAAGACACATATAGCCTTTTACGACGTTAAAAAAAAAATTCGGTTTCCTAACCGTCCGTCGTATTACGATGCGATTTTCTGATTTGGGTCACTACCTTGTCACTCTGCAAAAACGAATAGCTCCAAAAAAGCTCGGAATCATTCCCGTATATTTTGCCCGGTACCACAAACATTATTTACACTACGCACGTCGAAACATTGCACTCATGTGAAATCCTTGTGCATACACTGGTTCAAAAATAACGAGGAAACAATCCCTGAAAACTAACACTCTGTTTAACTGCAAACAGTATAATCTCAAGTCGCTAGGGGGTTAATTGTGCTATGCTCGAAATGGAGCGAACTAAAGATGCCGCACCGATAGCATTTTGACTATTACCGTTGTGGACTTTTAAAACACAATAAAACCAAACTATAATAAAACAACGCCGTCAATTGCGAATTGCATTCGAAGAAACACGCCAGCTGCAAAGGTAACTGTTTAAAGCTTTCGGACAAAAGCGACGGAGCAGAGTTGGCCGAGTCGTTACGCGTACGCACTAAAAACGCTATTAAGTCTCCTTAATAGACGCAGTGTACTCACACTGGTTATGTTCAAAAGAAAGCAACGTTTAACCTACCTCTGTCCTCAGAATTAATATTCAGAATCCACACGGGAGCCCTTGTTGACCACCCGTCGAACGTAACAAGTTTCGCTTAGGGCTAGTGCATTCTCGGCCAGCGGTGCCGGGGTAGCGACGATGATCACATCGACTTTTACGTCTTTACGGCCACTTAAACGTCCGAAGGCAGCTTCGTAAAAATCATCTAAACACCGAGCACACACAGACAGCGAAGTAGACGTTTTCAGCATTTTCAGTATCGGTAGCAGCAGGGCTTCTTGGCTGCACATCACGTTGCACGTTTATCGTACCACCGCCGTGTAGTATTAGTTCTGGCCGTGTTCGTGAGCCTCCGTCACCTACGTTGCGAGCATGCACAGCGAAAAAATCACACTCTTTTCGTTTCTGAGGTCTGCCGCCAGGGCGGCGACCCCCTAGATGGAACTTGCAGATAGGCTTCTTAGCCCGCTAGCATAGCGGCGGTCTAGAAGCTTGTTAACTGCTTTTCATCTAGAAACTTTGGCCTTGCCTCCCTTGTAGGAGTGCAGGACTGCTGGCGCAAAGATGCGCTGCGATGTGAAATCAAAACGTAGAAACATTTCAAAATCGATTTTTTTTTTTTTTTTTTAACGCCGTGAAATGCTATGCGTGGTATATAGATGCTTGAGCGTGTTGGTTTTTTATTTACGAGAAGGAAAGAGGGATATTGAAAACAGACAGCACAAGCTTTCGACTTTCAACAAAACGTTCACTGGTTCGACTTCGCCTCCCGAAGATCGACGGGGGGCGTCGGGAGGTAGAGAGGGAGGGTGGTGGGTGAGAGAAGTGTGAGCCATGGGGCCCTGCCCGCAGCTATGCGTGCACAACGGAAGGTGGGGGTGTGCTCTGTGTCATTTGGCACGTCATCGTTACACGGAGCCCAAGTGGCGGCGGTGCCTTGTTGGGGAAGGAACGGAAGAGGGGAGAAGGGCGCGGAGAAGCGAAGGAGAAGATAATACGGGAATTTCGACTTTTTTTTATGACTTTGGAGGAACCCTCTTGCCTCGCGGGAAGCGAATCTCTCGATCGGAAAAAGAAAAGAACGGCTGGACAGGTTTGAGACAGAAGATTTGATATTTAGAGACTCAAGGATTTCCGTGCCGAATCGACATTTGTGCCCTTCGAGAAATTTGGTTTTCGAGAACTGAGGGCTGCACGGGAAGCAGTTTTTGGCGTGAGCCACTACTGCATGGAAGGAGTCCGGAGAAGGAGACAAAATTTCCTTGCCTTGCTCACGGAGACGGCCATTCACGCAGCGCCCCGTCTGACCGATGCACTCGGCTTCGCACGCAAGAGGAATACTATACACCTTCTCCCTTGTGCAAGAACGGAAGCACTGCGCGTGTCTTTTGTGCATGTGTGTGTGTGTAAGGGGGGGGGGGGGGGGTTCTGGTTAGTGAATCGCTTGCACATGTCTCCCAATTTAAATTTAAATGAAAAAAGAACTCTGGTGGCGAATCAATGTGCCTGCGCATGCAGTCAGTCTGCCGTGTTGTGGGATTAAGGGATGCACGCAGGGCGGGTAGACCGGGTCCGGTCCCGGAGGAGCCTCCTTTGAGCGACTCCTAGACTGCAGTATGCGTTTCTTGCTGATATTACCTAGGAGGTCCACCGGGTAACTCGCCCTCCGGAGCCTGGTGGCCTAGAGAAGGGGAGGGCAGGTTTCTGGGAGCGCTTTTGAAAAGACCAGCACAGACCGAGAGACGAGTGGGTGTATCAAATATCGAAGAATTGGAAACCCTCCTGAGTAGGGTCTTCTTTTTTGAAGGTGAGGACGTTGGCTTTAGTTATAAATGCCTGAAGGGTGCAAATATCTGAGTTGGAGACAGGATGAAGAACGAGGTAGTCGTCAACGTACCGGAAGATCTTACGTTCATTACTTGGACGAGCAAGATGCTCCTGCACCGCGCGATCCACAAAAAAAAAAAAAAAAGAAGATAAATTTTGCTGAGGATCGGCACGAGACAGAAACCGATACACACGCCCGACCTCTGAATGAAGACTCTTTCCACGTGAATAAAAGTGGAGCCCACGTAGAGCCGGAGAAGATCGAGGAGGCCTGCGACCGCGATTCCGGACGCGTTTTGAAACCTGGTAATTCCATACAGGTCAATTGCCTCAGCCACAGAGCTCAGAAGAATTTGGAGGTCGAGATTGTAATATATCTCCTCGACATCCAGCGAGAACATGTTCTGGTCCTTATTGTTGTGCAAATGTCGAATAAAATCAATCACCTCAAGGGAGCCCTTAACGCGGAAGGGTTGGTGGACATCGATAGAGGAAAGGTGGTTGTGTAGGCAGAGGGCGAAAGGTTTCTGCCAGCATCCGCCTTCGGAGATTATGCTTCGAAGGGAAATATCTGGCTTGTGCGTTTTTGCGTAAAGAAGATAGAACGATACTCTTTTTATGGGGCAGAAACTAGCGTTTTTAAGGAAGAGAGGTTGAGAGAATCACAAAAGGGTTTTACTTAGGATCAAAGTGCTTCCGATAGACGGTCTTTAGGGGAACAAAGTTCTTTTAATGCCTAATCCACTTTCTTTCCGAATTTGTCTCTGTTCATTATGACGGATCGGTCCATCGTGTCCACCTCCAAGAGAATTAAACCGTATTGGCGGGGCTCCTCCACGACGGGTGTTACCATCGAGCGTGCCGGTGCACCCGCGTCACCGTGGTGCAAACCACGCCGGCCGCCGCACCGACAAAGTCCTGCCGATCACCCTCCGGGACCCTCGCCTTCAATCTCATAGACGGAGCTCGGCCAGCTGGTCCACTCTTGATGATGGCGCTGGTGGCGCGAACTTGGGGCCTTTTGACAGAAGGGCAGTTGCTTCTGCCGACAGCTCGGTGTCGGACAGATTTATAGGGGATCCAGGCCTGCCTTGCGGCGGGAGGCAGAACCCGCGAAGATGCCCTGGAGCACGCGTCTCCACGATGTCTCCAGAAGGTGGTCCGAAGATTCCCGTAGAAAAACGAAGGCGGAATGTGTGTTGAAGTAGGTGCCGAATCATCCGGTCATCAAGGGCATAGCCCAGTCTTCATCTAAAGGATTTGCCGTGAGATTTCCTTCCTCGTTATTTGCATTACTCTGTAAGTGGAAGGCCAGCTTGATGGTTCGAAGCATAGGAGACGGTGAACTGAGAAATCGGCCGCGTACTCTCGAAGGCAGACTCCCGCGGCTCGCAGTTGCAGGCGAAGAAGACTCATCTTTGACAGGAAGATGGTGGCCCAGAAGGTCGAGGATGGGTCAAACTCCAGGTGGTTCAGTGGCTTATCAGCAGGACAGCATATTGCATGTAGCTCACGGAAGTATAATATAGATGGTTGAGCATGTTGGTTTCTAATTTATGATAAGGAAAGAGGGACATTGAAGACAAACAGACAACACAAGCTTTTGACTTTCAAAAGAAAGTTTACTGGTTTGACTTCGTTAAATAGCCTTGCATCTTCTAAAATATGTTGATTGAGTAGTTTTCAATTATTTCCAGCAAGTTTCTAATTAAGACAATACTTTTAAACGTACTAACTAAAGTGTTGATTATTGAAACTATTTTAGATCCTATTTATTAACGTTATTATGTTAAATGGGCCTATTGCAAAAGACCAACATTACATTAATCCCTCTTCTGTGCAATACGTACATTTTGCAGGAACGATTTGGTTCATGTTTTGAGAAACACCCTTAAACGGTTTCATAAAAATACGAATTTCTTGTCACTCCTGTCCTAAATAAGATGATCATAGACCTCCTTTCTTGATGGCGCATCATGATCACTTCAAGCTTGTTGTCACTGCTTAGGAAATATATACGGATATTGAATTAAAAACGTCTCAATTTGTGACTTTTTCAACGGCTTGTGGAAGCAGTGTACCCAAGCGAAACATCGGCTCTCGTCCTGAGGTGTCCAAAATGTTATTTTTTTACCTATTTCCACCAGCTTTGACCACCACCACATCATATTGTTCTGATGTATACTAGTACTTTTAGAGATGAAAATATGGCTTTTCTTTTTTCTAGTATGATGACTTCGCAAGTTTCTTGCCGGTAAGTATTGAAATTTGCTTTTTTATGCCAAGGGGGGGGGGCTAACCAACTTCCCTTCTTTTAAACATACACAGCTCATTCACTGTTGACACATGATCTGTTTTAACGTCTTCGATTGGTGGTACATATGCGTCAGGGCCTTCACAAGTGACCTTCGTGACGTCACGAATGACGTCAAGAAGGTCACTCGTGAAGGCCTTGTGAAGGTCACTGTGAAGGTCGTGACCTTCGTCGTGACCTCCACGAGTGCCCCTCATGAGGTCACACATGACGTCACGTGTTACGTCATTATGGGAAACGTCCCATAATGCAACGCGTGGTTACGCCGACGGCGAGGGCGGCGCCGCTCAGTCGGAAATGGGCGCCTAAGAGCTGCCCTCGAATATATGTTAAACGTTACTGATATTTGTAACTGTTCTCTTCATTACAGCTAAAATTACACTTGTTCAGCTTCTTTTTCAACTAGCTATTACTTAAGGAGAACTTACTAAATCTGGATCTACTTAATAGGAACATGAGCGACCCAGACTTGAGCAAATGAAGATCGATTGCATGGAAGCAACCGGCGCAAAATTTTCCGGTGAGCTGCGCACTGAATTGCCAGATAATTTATTATGATTATTTAACTTCTTTTGACAAAGACATTTAATTATAAGGATGATAACCTAATCTGTTGCAGCGCCTCGCCACAAAGCCTTCCACTCTTTCCACTTTAGCAGAGCGAACGCTGGAAAGGAGGGAATTGGTGGGAAGGAAATATCAAATCGTGGCGTGCAGAGAACTTTGAGGGTGTGTCTTGGGCTATGCTAAACCTGCAACGTACTATGGCCACACTCGACCTGAGCATTCAGCTTCAAAATTCAAGAAGTTAAGAAGGACGTTACGCGTGTCTCACTATAAGGGAGAAGAAAAATAGAGTTACGTGCCAACTCTTTGTTACTCGGCATTTTGGCTGCCTTAGTAAGTGCACCGCAAACAGGCATTTGGGCCAGCCTGGGACTTAGAAAATTATAGAACCATGCTTTTAGGAGAGAACGAGTCGTTGTCTGATTTGAATCAATGGAATCACGTTATACCTCTACGGAGTGTATAGCAATTCCCAGGTATTAGAGGATTGTGAGCTACGACATTGCTCGGTGAGCAATGTAACAGTAACGGAGAAAGACGTCAGGTCTGTACAGACCTTCTACGTCTGTTTATCTCGTCATCAAGTAAAAGGAGCATTTTATATACTAGATAAGTGAATACATTAGTCCTTTAAATGTTTCTTTACTGTTTTATAGCGCCTTTATTTGTCTCAATCAGAATGTCTTTTTTTTTCAGGTAACTGATTCAGACACGCGTGGCCCGTCCTCAAACTATTTTATTTTTTATTACTTAAGAGACACAAATAAACAGGCTGTTTTACGGAAGGAAAAGTGTCTGTCTATCACACGTTTTTCAAAGTGCGTGTCGCTTTGGGTCTCATGCTGAATGCGCTGCAGCCATCTCTGACTGTTGTAATGCCTTTGTGTCTTCAGCTAACCTTTCGCGAAAGTTACACTTAGGATGTACAGGCATGCCTGCGCCACGGCCACTCGATCCCCCCTGTCCTAATCGAGTGGCCGTGGAACTGGTATGGCGCCTAGGCAACACCACCTAGACAGAAGGCCTCCGCATGGTTTCCTCTTCTTCTATGAAACGTCATCACAGTCGGATCGCGCTCGGTCGGCTATTGGACCCGAGCCCGACCTTCGACGCGCTGATTGGCCACGAGCCGCAGCCGAACACTGACGCAGCACTCCTGCCCAATCTCTCGCCTCGATCGATCTGACTATGATGACGCGTGTGGAGGCCTTCTGGCCTAGGTCAGTCCCCGACACACGCGCCGCGCGTATGCACCCGCTCGAGATCATGGCTCGCGCTGTCCCGTTGTCATGGGTGGCAGCTTGGTTGCTTGATACATAACAACACGGCGCACAGCTGACCAAACCAACGACGGGCATCTGGCATGCCTCAGCGGAGGCCTGAGGATCAATTTGGACAACCTGGGCATCTTTTGACGTGCAACCGAAAGCTCGGTTACACGGCGCCTCCTCCGCAATAAGAATACCGGAGAAGCTTAAAGGGGCCATGAAACGAATTTTGGGTTGAGATGAATGATTTCAAATTGGGACTTTACTAATCGCATACCATTTCGTTGGCCAAAAGAAAGAGGTTAGAAAGTCAAAAGCCAGCTTTTCGGTACGAACATTTGAAAATATAGCGGACTATTTTGTACCTTCTTGCCTTCAAAAGCTCTCTGCCTTTTCACTATGATACATCCGCGGTTCCAAAAGCGCGTCACCGGCGCCAAACTGACGTCAGCAGAGCCAAGCTCACGCATTGGACACGAGAACTGCGTCACTCGGACCTATGCGCTCGTCAACAATCAATCCGTCGACGAATATTTGGATTCGCGCTCGTGGCCAATGAGTGCCCTGACGGAACTTATTGTCACTGGGGAATGACAAGTTTTATGGTGTGCATAAAAAGCACGGTGGAAGCTAGGAGTCATCGCACCGGTGCCGAAGGAATGTCACGACCACGTGATTTCACAATTGGCATTTGAGTTGAGGATTAAAGCTAACGAGGAAGAAGTAGGAAAATCGTTTCATGACCCTTTTAACTCATCGGATCCCGAAGTAGTCGTATAATGCGTACACCGTGTGTGTGTCATCGAAGCAGCAGTAAGCATGAAAATCAAGCTAATAATGTACAATCAGCAAAGCTAAGAATAACCAGCTCAACCTAAGCTTATGGTACGGATATCCTGGCATAGCCACTGTTTGGTCTTTTTTTTTTATGTCACTTAGCCCATTACTGGAATATGTATGAGATCGTCACGTTCTTAGAGTAACAACGGGGTGAAGAAGAAAAGGAGAAGGGCGAGCTGAAGACAAGTGGAGGGCACGAGGTATGGGCTGTTTGATAATTTAAACCCATGTTAAGGGTAAAAAAAAAAAAAAAAAAAAAAAACAGGACGCGGGATGGCTAGAAAAAATGCGGTTTTCGTGTAAGGATCGTCAAACTATGCGGCGCTGGAGAAATGCAGCCTTCTGCGTTAAGTCCTTATTTCGAACTCTTTTTGTTCGCCTACCGCCAATTGAAAAGCATGCGGAAAGGGCCTTAGAACGCACCTGGTATCGATGCGCCGCAGCGTTCTTCCGCAACATAAAGTTCGTCTGCTTTCCTCGCCGTCACCATAGCAACGAACGCCGAATGAATGGAAGCACGTACGGTACCGCCGCGTGAAGCCAACAACAGCTGACGCCATTTTACGAACGCCGTCTGCTAGCCAAAGCCGAACGCGGTGTGTCAGATCAACCGCCTTCGTCGGTGCGCCGCTGGCAAAGACGACGAAGCTGAGACACGACGACGCCGATTGAGCAAGCAAGAGCACCGCGGGACGACCGCAACGGGGGCCTTTAGTGGGATCAATACGCGCGAAATAAGCAAAAGAACAATTGTTATTTGAATCATAACACGCGATATACAAGTTGGGGACCACATACCTTGACTAGGTTTTTCCTGTGAACTTTTTACAGATACACGGGGTGCCGCATTCAGAAAACAGCTCCGTTTGCAAAATATGGGGGCCCTGAAAAGGGCCGTTTAGACCGCTACCAGAACCTATAACTGACGTAACGAGCACTTGACAAGCGGTTGGCGCATAAGTCGTTTTTATGCATGCAGGCGGGCGACGGGCTCAGCGCAGTGGATCGCTCGAAGTCACCGGGGCCGTCAGAATCCTCGCCCTGCGTCGGGGCTCTAGATTTTGGCGGTCGCGGCGACGAACGACTGCAATCTATCAGTGTTTCCGCGCGTCTTCTCTCTCCTCCAAAACATAAACTTTGCAAGGTGACCAGTGAAATGTTGGCTCTCGCGCCATCCAGATGGAATAGAGTTTTAAGCGTGGGCCCAGGTGCCCTCCACCGAATTGGTGTGCGCTCTGCACTACAAAGACAGAAAAAAAAGCCCAACGAAGGCGCCACAAGAGTAGTGTGAGGCCATTCAGGTGGGTCTGTACTACCCAAATTGAGGGCGTCACACTTTGTCCAAAGCTTCAGCGCAGGAGGCATTTTGTTATTTTATATACTACTGTATCCTTCTTCCCAGCGTTAGCCTTAGTGGACGCTCGTCAACACCCGGTTTTCTGGCTTGTCATATGTGTAAGACTAAAGTCACTAAATAAAGCTACGCTTTCAGAGTACCAGCCGCCTCGGTGGCTCCGAGGCGAGAGCGCCGGCCTACGGATCCCCAGGTGGCGGGTTCGAATCCCGGCCGAGGTGCCCGCAATATGACGGAGGCTTATTGCGGAGAAGGCGCCGTGTAACCGAGCTTTCGGTTGCACGTCAAAAGATCCCCAGGTGGTCGAAATTAATCCTCATTCCTCCGCTGGGGCGTGCCAGATGCCCGTCGTAGGTTTGGCACGTAAAACCCCCAAATTTGACTTTGACTTTGCTTTCAGAGTACCGAAACTCCCAAACTACACGTCTGAAGCAAGTCAGGCGCCGCCATCTTGGGTCCGCGCGCAGATGAAGGAGTGGCTGTAGATGAGCCAAGCCGAGCTGTAGCCGTCGCCTGCGCCAGCTGCCGCGGCCGCAACTGTGGCAGCGAATCAATAGACAGTTTTAGTATAGCGTTGCTGGATCTTACGTACGCAATACGCAATAGTATATAGGTACGCTAAAATTGACCTGCTCGGACCGAATTTAGTTGTGCGTTACGTTTTCGAGTGAACACCGCGCATGATCTTGGTTAAATTTGCTATACTTCGTTTCAGCTTCCGTCTGAGCGCAGCCAAAGGCTGAGGGACGGTTCGCAACTTCGAAAAGAGCATTCCTACGCATCGCAAAGTAGTCCGCAAAAGTAATTTTTTTAAACAACTGTTTTGTGCGTAAACGTTGCACAATATTCCAGATGTGTACTGCTGAGAATGATTTGCAACTAAAGGAATTAAATATCTGAAGTTTATGTTTTTATTAATATATGTAAATGCATACGGTTGGTGAAAACACGTACATCCGCTGGCAACACGGCTGCAGCGCTAGGTTGTGATTTCGTTCCCGTAATGGCCGAATCATGTGCTTCGCTGCTTGTTCGTTGCTTTCCTCCCCGAGTCGCTTCAAAACGTCCTTTCGCAAAGGCATGTTTGGGCGTCAGGCGCGAGAGGTCGTGATGAATGTCTACTTTCCGATTCGGTAGGAGACTCCGGCCGCGTCGTACCGCGAATGCGTTGTAAACAAGAAAAGCGTCCGGGCCACTACAATTCCCTGATACGCGGCGAAATCAGGGCACCCCTTTACCTGCCGATCACATTGAACGCCGAGAAGCTGGTGGAAAGGACTGCGCTTCGAGCCCTGGTATATCCAGACAATACAAGGAAACATCAACGGCCGGGTCATCGGTCACCTTGCAATGTTTACCTACATCTCGAAACTATGCCGAAATGCCGAACAGGTGGAAAGCTCGGACACGGACGCCAGCGGCCAGCCTACGTACTGACATCCCTTGTGACTAAATTTCAGAACGTGAAAGGGCCCCTTTTAAACCTGTAGCAGACGATACCGTTGATATACACCCGCAGCAGACGAAATACTCGGCAAGCGCGGGCGGCGCGGACGACCAGCGGCGCAGCGGAGTGATACAAAAGTGCAGGCGAGATCGCGTGACCTATTGCCGGTGTGTGATTGGCTCCGGCCACACGTAGCTTTGGCTGCGCTCGCACGGAAGCTGAAACGAAGTATAGAGCCGTAGAGTTCCGCGTGCTTATAGCGCAACCATGCTCCTGGAAAGAAATATTGCAAATGAAAACGTGTCCAATCATTTTATTTCAAATTAAACCAAGCCACAGCTGCCTCGTCAAGCGCGCTTTTCTGCGGGGTACAGAGGCTACGAGTACGAGTGCGTAGCCGAATTCCATCATGGAGGCTCCGTCAGTCGTCCCCTGGAAACGGCACCTTTTATCAATGCTATCGCGGGATGAAATTCAAGACCCTGATGTCCAGTGCATAGCGAGAACTTCGGCGATTTCTTTTCGAGTCGTTCGTCCGTCGGCGATGAACTGTGGAAATAGGCTTAGCGTTGAGCAGATCGCAACGTCGACGCACACTGCGAGTGGCGAACATTTCCATTGTGCACTCCTTCAGCTGCAGCGCGATCTGATTCGACCGCGGTAGGTCCCAGAAAGAATCGCCGAGCTGAACACCACTCAATCTCGCGTAACACAGAACTTCGAAAACACCACGTCGCCCTTGCTGCGCTAGTCGAGGCCACCGCCATCTTGAAACTGTCGCTCTCGTTGGGTCCGAGATCTCTCGAGAGCGTCCCGCAAGGCCCGCTAGCCAGCAACGCAAAATCCCCAGCGTTGCGTGCGTACGCAATACGCTAGCCCTTCTATTGCGTTCTGCGCATGCGCACTCACGACCCGCAATCCCCCTTCCGTACGCAAAGCTATAGCGTACGGTCCACTAAAACTGTCTAATGTCGTGTTGTTCGTACCTCGACGTAACACGGAAAACGCGCGTGCTGAGCGACGGACTTCAGCGTGCGCGCGCAGTAAACAGCAGCAGGCAGAGGATCGCTGGACCCAAGATGATGGCGTTGAAAGACCGTGATGATGACGATAGCGACTCACGTGACTGCCGCTGTCCAATGATGCCGCAGAGAACCAGAATATTGTTGAATAGAGCGGCTGTATTGTCGGCAAAATTTCAAAGAAAAGGAATGCGGTACTTTGAAAGCGTAAGTGACTCTAGGTAAGACAAGCGAGGGTCAGCAATGGCCACTGTAACCTGGCGCTTGTGCAAAGCGTCTATATCTTATTCGACGTTTGCTCCAACATGACTTGTCCGGCACGCACCATTATTGTGACTGGCTCAGTCAGAGTAAGTACCGCGACTCCGCGAAAAAAAAAAAAAAACTCTCTTTTTTGTAGCGCAAAAATAAACTAGATATCGCGGAGCGCTCTAACTTCGTCATAATGTAGCGCCAGCCGTTCGAGCGAGATGCCGAAGTTTCAACATGTACCATTGTCGGAATAAAAAGTTTGAAGTGAAAACGGTTTTCGTCTGTGAGAGGACGCCGTCAGTGAGAAGCAGCAGACGGAATGCCGGTTTGCGACCGCATCTCACAGATGGTGCCCCCATCGGCCGAAGGTTTCTGGTTAGTTTCGGTTTCGGTCTTTCGGTTTGCAACACAGTACCGTCGCATGGTTTCTCACGTGCTCCACTCGGTTTGGGCACAATTCCTGGCGGTTGTTGGTCTTTTCTTTAACCAGGATTATGCTCGCTAAATTGTGTATTTGTATACCGTCTTTATTTATCCTGAATAAAGATGTCTTGTTGCTCCACCTGCAGCTGACTCGGCGTTTTTGTTATGACGCGAGCCCTCCATTGATTTAGAGGTAGAACATGGTGTGCGACATCGGACTGCAGAAAATGGAGGTAACAAAGGGAGCAATATCTCGGACGAAAAAAGGGCGCATACAAAGAATCTTTTTTGCATGGGGATTCAGTTTAGAGAACACGGGAGAGCAGCCGCGATAAGGGTGGCTGCAGACTCCGTGACGATAGCATTTGGCAGCCGTAAAAAGGGCTGCCGAATGTAGACGCTGCTACTACGGCTCTACTCCGGACGGAACCAAGACTTCGTCGAGGCATCGTAGGCTCCAAGTGCAGATGCTAGCAGGCGTGGTCTAGTACTTTCCGAAGGCAGCAGCTCAGGCACGTATCCTGGATTTTGTTTCGGGGGGGGGGGGGGGGGGGGGGGGGGGAGGGGGGGCGCCCGTGACCAAATGCTGTTTGAGGAGGAGGGGGGAG